AAAGAATATTCCGTGTTTAGGCTCCACAGGTGTACCAGCCGCTGATCGGATACACTAACGTTTCTGTGAAGAATCCAAACACCATTTAGCTGTGGTGGACATTGACCACGTGACAAGAATCCCAGCCCTTCATTGGCTGGCTATTCGGAGCCTCCACCAGGGGCTGGAGTGTCTGTTGTGAGTGTGGCTGCTAAGGCAACGGCTTCTGGAGCGTGGAAACATGGAACAGCTTTACTACAACTTTAGAAACATCAGTTAACAAATACAAATGAACAACAGATAAATAATGTTTTGTTGTTTTAGCTTTGTCCACATTTGGTCCCAGAATCTCTTCGTATATCTGACAGTTCATTTAAATATTCTATGCAACTGAAGTGTTGCATTGTAACGTTTGAATATCGACCCAAAGAAGTCATTAAAGTCTTAAATGACTGATTATGGTTAGAATTATTGCTTTTATGAACTTGAATAAGTATTTGGTCTAAGTTGCATGTTAAGTGGAAAACATATAGCGGGCCTGACACTGTTGGAGTTGTACTCATGTACATGTTTAAGGCTGCGCCACAAATAGGATGAAGCGTTCTCCACCTCAAATCCAGGCTCAAACTGTGACACAACATGGAATACATATAAATCAGTGAACAGTATGTTTATTAAAGAAGTTCATAGCAGGTGACAAGACGTTTACTCCAGGTTTCAGTACCAAAATAGAGAGATATAAGGTTTCCTCTGAGTGAGTCAGACGGCTTCAGTAAGGTTCGGTATAGAAGGCTGACTCACTCATCTGCTCGTGGCCTGCTCTATAAAGATAGCAAGTGTCAAGTTTATCTCCATGAAACAAACACTCATAAACACACAAACTGTCTCCACTCAAGAAAAACAAAAAAATAAATAAATCAAACTGAGCTTTATTCGGGCAACTTCATAATACAACAATCTGTCAATTGTTTTCTAACATCACATTTTATCACAGCTATCAAATGGAGGTGAAATAAATCAGAACGTTCAATGCAAGTACACCAGCACATAAAATGATAACAAACACACCCCAGGCTCAAAAGTGATCTCTGGTTTTCATCAGAACAGGTGAGACAATTTAGTAGAAGGTGAACAGAGAGATTTGAGGATGGTGGTGAAAAGTTAGGTTGAAAATGTTCAGAATCCTAAGTATTTTTTGGTGTTGTATGTTTCAGGACACAGGACTTCCCATGAGCCTCTCCTGTCGCAGTGACACTAGTCGGTTGAGCCACAGCTCCTCTGCCTTCTCTTTGTCCATATACAGCTGTAAAATAACAGAGAGACGCCTTGTTAGTCAGCAGACAGTTGGATTAAGTTTGTTCATGTTAGAAATTCAATAAATTTTGTTGACCATGATCTCATTTAGAGGAAAATACACAACACAGCCGGCACCTGGCTGCAGAAACCACTGGACAGTTTCAGGCTGTGTTTACTCATATGCTATGTCTTCTTCAATGAGTTGATGTTTACTCTAATCTGAATGTTATTATTATTTACCAAATAAACTGCTTTCTGTCGAGGAAGATCTAACACTAATGACTGAGACACCAAACTCTCTTAAATTTGTTAAATTTGCTCTCTTAAACATAGTATATGCAGAGAAATTTGTGAATCTACGTCACTTTATCTTCTGGGAATCACACTAATTGTCCATGTCTGGTACGGTCTACTGAAGAACACCTGAGCACCTTCCGAACCCACTGAGCCTAAAATACATAAATGTGACTGCTTTTTCCAGTCACATTTATGTAACTCTTGGTGAGTGGGTGTAGAAGTGTGTCAGCCTGGTGACGGAGAAGCCCTACACATGTGACATGTATTCATAGCAGTACATCAGCAGCAGGGTTGATATTGGTTGTAAGGGGGGCGTGAAGCTGCTGCAGCAACTGTCTGATGAATGAAAGCATCTGTTTACCGGGAGGCGACATAATGACCATGAGGCCAAGAAACAGGGAGAAAATTGGAAGATTATTTCTGTGTTCTGCTGTCGTGTGTGTGTGTGTGTGTGTGTGTGTGGTTGGGAGATAATGTTGACACGCTGACTACGTGTGTACACTGTACATCTATGTGATGGTACGTGTGTATTATTATGCAGATTGTGCAGCAGCTCTGCTGACGACAATCCTTCATTCCTAAACTCTGCACACTCACAGCCGGCCCCGCGTGTTAACTGTGTGTTAGATTCAACACCGGTGAGTTTCTGTCTGTCGGCCCTGCGCTGGTGTCGTGGTGCTAATGAGGCTGCATGTGTGGGATGACAGTATCTGGGCCGGGCTAATGGGACTCATCTGTTCTAATTGAAAATGGAGCTGAAGCCCGTGCTAGTGCCCGCCTGGGGCATATTGCTGCCATACATCAGGCCTGTCGCAGAGAGTGTGTGTGTGTGTGCGCATCACAGCTGGGTGTGTATATGTGTTGGTGGGATATCTGCATACATCAGGACATAACTTAGTTTCCCAGTGGAGACAGATGACTGAGAAGCCCCAGGGAGCGTTATTAGAGTTTAAAGGTTTCCTTCTCGTTTTTCATGAGAGCCTGGGAGGAGGTGAAGTTAAAGAGGTTATAATCTGCCTGACTGCAGCCTCCTTTACAAGCACATGAAGGAGTGGTATGAACACTGGTGCTGGTGTTGGTAGATGCAGAGGTTATTTCGGGGTTTTTTTTATTTTATTTTAAGTTTTAAAAGTTTACCCACGGCTCAACTCAAGCAATCTTTGCAGTTATAAAAGCAAAAGGTACTGAGGATAATACTGACAGAAGATCCACTTGAGGATTAGGAGGTGTTTATTGCCTCAGGGGAGTTATGAAAAAAACGTTGTTTTTTTTTAGTTTAAAACCTCACAGCTATCTGGTGAGACGTGGAAGTAACTGTTAAAATCCTAAACTCCGTGACAATAAAAAGGACTCACATTGGGATGAGCGAGTGTGTCACTGTCGTTGTAGACTATGGACAGGGGCAGAGTGATGTCCTGAGGATCCACGCTCTCTGTCTCCTGTTTCACCACTGCAACCTCAATCTGGACATTAAAAAGACATTAAACAGAATTTAAAAAATCACTGCAAATCTATATACTCTGCACATTTGAAGTAAAACCCCTCAACCCTAGAAAAGTCCAGGTACATGACATCACCTGACTCTTGCTTTTAAACAATGTCAATGCAATCTTTATCTTGTCATGAAAAATAATTTTATATTATATATTATTTATTGATATAATTTATATTAATGTTTTTTATGCTGTTTAAATATATTTTACAGTGCAACTATACCTAATTTCTAATCAGAGAGACAGGAATGACTGCAAATGAATAAAAATAATCAGATGGTTCTTTCCTTTGATTTTATTAACTATGTAGTTTTTAATTTTAAATATTTTGAACTTAATAATACTAGAAAATATTGGGTAGTAAATATCTAACCCATGAGTATTTGAAAGGAATTAATTGCGTTCTAACACTTTCCACCAGGTGGCAGTAAATGACTAAAATTTGAGACACTTTCAAGTTCAGACAGAACTATGGCCTCCGTCTTTTATGTCAGCGTTTCACAACCTTTTATCAACCATTGGAAGAATCCCACGGCACAGCTTCGAACCAAATATGACAGCGAGTAGGAACCTTCTAGACTCCAGAAGGAACGTAGTCGACTCAGTTAAGGGGAAGGACTTAAAGCTTTGAATTAAGGGAAAAGTAATTTTCACTTCTTTCTTTCAGCAGGGTTGATATGAGAATATGATGTTATATAAACATGTGTTTGTAATTACAGCAGACTGAGTAGAGAACGTCTTTCAATAAAGATTAGATGTCATGGTTAAGTTTGTGCTGGAAGTTCAAACATACGTTTGAAAATAATTAATACCAATCTCTGCTGTAAGAGTACTGGTGTATAATGCAGTACCATGTAATCTGAAGATGTAGTATACTTTGATGCATGTAAGAAAAAGAAGTCCTAGAAGTGAGCCTTGATGAACCCCTTTGTTTCACAGAGTGAATCAGATTTGAAATCAAAGTGTCTCCAAATCTGTTAAAGTCCATTGAACTGATGAGGAAGATGAGCTATTGACGAAACATTTGTGGTCACACAGACACAGTGAATAAAGGTGTTGATACAAGTTTGTTTGTTTGGAGTACATTTGACCCCATGACCTGAGCAGAACTGTCAATCGCATAGTCATTAAACTGATCCCTAATAAAAATCTATGGTCCGTCTCGTTTCCCTGCAGCTGCACTAAGAGCTTCGTAAAGGCCAATATTTGGAAGTACATTCTTATTGAAATGGATAAGATTTTTAGGAGTATCTTAAATCTTGTTTTCAGATTCTGTGGAGCTGCTCCATCATTATTTGATCCAGTTTGTTACACAGACTGTGGACCTGCCACTGGCTCTGTTCTACTGCTGATCCAAAGTGGGAGGACAGAACTCACCGACTTCATTTGAAGTCATTTTTCTAGGGGGTAATAATGAGAAAATGCAGTGTTAAATCCGGCCACATGGGGACCGACACTTGTCAGACACTGTGGGGGAAAATCCTTCAGGTCCAAAGGTTCACTGTCACGTCTTTTGTTAGTTTTAAAAACAGCCATGAGCCTCTCATCCTTCAGAGAGGACAACATTTCAATAACAACTGCTGTGTTCTGTCTGCACCTGCACAACCGCAAGGGTAGAAAGAGATGGAGAGACAGGGAGAGGGGAACAGAAAGACAGAGAGGCAGGGAGGACGGCTGTAGCCTGCTGTGGCTTTTGTGTGGGTGCAGCCGCTTTGGAGGCGGCAAACACCGGAGCGTCTGATGAAACCATCTCAGGTTGGAACAAATGGCGCTGAATGAGGATGTTTGATTTGGTCTGGGCTGTCTCTGGACAGACGGCGCAGCGAGGCAAAGGGAAATTCAATAAAAGACAGATTGAAAAGATACAGAGAGAGTGAGGGGCAGGGGGAGAAAGAGAGACAGAACGCACCTTTATATCATCTCTGGATGATTTGAAAGCCTGAGGAACAAAGGAATCACTCTCGATGGCCTCGATGTCCTTTATCCTTCGCACTTGCTCCTCCAGAGAAGTTCCCTCTGAAACACATGTTACACAGACAGAGGGCTATGAACAAAAGCACGCACAGTACACACACACAGACACACACATGAACACACACACACAGAGGGTCAGTCGTCCCTTTGTCGTGTCCTGAAAACCACAGGATTTCATTTGGACTGGACTTAGTTGATTGAATGTTTCCCCTTCATAATTCTCTTTGACACCTTAAATATGAAAAATTTAATATTCTCCTGTTTTAATCTCTGCCCTGGTGGAAGAAGGGACTCGTCTTTAGCCAAGGGCATGAAGTTGGTACAAAGAGGAAGAAATACTAACAAGATAATATCCAGACAATGAATTACACTCAGATAATGCATTTTAAAAATAATCAGAGTATGAACGCAAACTCACTGCAATGGAATTTCATTACTGAGACGAAATGTGATTAAGTTTCAAACTGTTTTCATGTTTCACAAAGTATTTCTCTGCGGCTCGGGCACTCCAACAAAAAGACAGAGAGGGTTTCCAGTAAATTACTCTGGGATATAAACACATCAGGATTCTGCATATCAGATAACAACTCATTTCAAAAATTCAAGAGCAGTCGTTGTAGCGTAGGAGGACAAAAATAGGTGTGCCAGGAAAGTTAGCAAGGAGGAAAAAAAAAACAAAAAAAAAAAACAGTGCAGAGTCTGAATGCTCCCATTATTCTCAGGCTGTCAATCTTCCCACTGATCAGTCAATACTCATCCCTCTCTCCCCCATCCATCCGTCCTCTCCTGCACTCTCCCATCTCTCTATCTGTCAATCTAGCAGACATCCATGTTTCTCCGCTCCACCGTGGTAGGCTGTGTCATGAAAACAAGTGCACAAACAGCTACACACTGACACACACACACAGAAAAGCAGTACATAAAAAAAAAACTCCCACATTGACACGTGTTCGCAAAGTTTCATACCAAACGCACTGACGCCTCACATTCATCTGGAAAACCATAGAAGATATGAATGCACAGTCAAACGCACACATTTGTGTCTTTTAAGGTCCTTACACACCCAAAATGCCTTCCTTACACCCCATCTCCCCCACCCTAGCCTTAAATATGTCAAATCAATGCATAATACAAACTATAATCAATATCAGGGATTTGAAACCTCCAACACCATAAGAGACCTTTTTATTGTTTTAGCAGAAAATAAATTTACTAAAAATACTACAACAGACTTTTAGTAAAAGAAGTCAGTGACACTATGTTGTTTTGCTGTTTAAAAATAAGCTGAAATGTTGGTACAACTTAATTGTAAAAATCCCCAGTCAGTATTAGCAGATGGTGCAGAATGTTCTGCTGTAGACTAAAAAAAAGCAACGGTTGTTTTTGTTGGGAACAAATAGCTGAAAATTTGGTCCATTTACACACATTACATCAAATCTCACAGGGAGCCAAATGTGGCCCAAGAGCCATGGGTTGCACACACCCGTCCTAAACCTTCAAATTGTCAATAGTATTAGGAGGAACTGCCAAGTATCCTCAAAATTACTATTTATTTATTGAAGAAAATATACTTTAATATAGACGTGGCATTCACACAGAGAGAGTCAAACCTGCAACTGGAGCTAATAGCAGGAATTAATTCAATCCATTAGCAGCTACAAAGAGAGTGTCACAACAGATCTCCAGCGACTCAGTGTTTAATGAATAAATGAATATTTCTTTCTGCTTTTACGGCAACGCTCTTTCACACACACACACACACACACACACACACACACACACACACACACACTTGGAGTTCATAATAGCAATGAAACAAGTAGTGTTTTGGTTTAAATGCACAGCAGACTTGGACAACTGAGTGACGAGTGGAATAAAGTCTTCCTATATGACGGGCTCTCAGCTTGTCATCCTGTGGAGACGAGATGAAGCGAGCAGAGACGCATCACTGAGTGGCTCCAAAAATAGTCATTACCTCTCGCTCAACTGGCTGATGACGCCCAGAGGAGAACCTTCAAGGCCTTGACTCCAGATTCTAAAACCACCTTTAAAATGGCCAACAATCCATTTATTACAATAATTATTCACTTTTATACCTCCTTGTTGTGCTTTGAGTGTGACTGGTCATTTAAAAAATCAACTCAATGACACACACACACACACAGCCTTCCCGCCCGGTGTCTCCTCTGCAGGCCTTGTGTGTTCCAGGCCTGTCAGTGTGCGTTGCAGGAAGCCATTAAGAGCTCAGAGTTTTTGACAAACACATTATTGGTAGATAAAATGAC